CTGCCCCAACACCCCCCCCCCCCCCCACAAAAAAAATAAAGAAAACTTTTTATTTTTGAAAAGTTAACTTTTGTACTTGTATTACTATAAAAAAGAATTACAATGCCAATCATATCTGAGGAATAAACATGCACCTGCTAGTGAAAGATGAGGCCGCAATGAGGTCGCTATACAAAAATTGATGCCTGAGAGAAAGCACACTGTACAAAAAAAACCCCCAAAAATAAGGACCAAAAAAGAAAACCCTGAACCGAGCTCAAAAAAGAGCTAGGGTGGTTCCACTGATGGTCGAAGGTGAACTAGCGCCTTCCTTTGCGAGCAAATCTGCACTAGACTTCACCTCCTGCCACACATGTTGAAAGGAGATGTGAATATGCCGGCACAGGGAGAATAGTGCTAAAAAATGTGCTCCAAGTGCCACGGACAGGTGCAACCACCCAAGGCCTAAGCAATACCATTTTTGGAGCTACCTTCTATAACCAAGGAGTTTCCCCAATCTTGATTGAAATTCTTCATTCCCTCTAAAAGTGCCACTGCTTCTGCTGCAGTTGAGTCCACTAAAGCGGATGTACCAGAGTAAGAAAGTAGGGTGTTTTGATTGTGATCTCTAAAGAGTCCCCAACCCGCTGGATAAGGATTGCTGAGGGAGCAACCATCAAGTTAAGCTTAACTTGGTAAGGGTCAGGGGGTCTCTATAAGGATGATCGAGCAATTCGTGATGGCCTGAAGTCCAAGGCCTCTAGCCAGAGGTGGTGAAACCTTTAAGAACATTGTGGTTATGGGCCCAAAAGATTACTATCTATTGGATGAGGCCCCCTTAAAGCCATTGGTCTTCTTCCCATCAAATATTCTAAGATTTTTTTCAGTCCATAGGGTCCAAATAGTGGCAGCCACCAAGGCCCTCCAGAGACAAATTCCTGCCACCAGGGAGAGGGGGAAAGAGTGCACGGCGACTAGGGGAAAGCCTGATGGAGCTCCCGCATTGACTGTGGAAGAACCCAACACCAATGAAAACTTTGAAGCAACTCGGCCTAAAGACCACTTGCCACCTCGCAATGCTAGAAGAGGTGATGGTTGGTCTCTTCTACTGATTTGCACATGGGGCAGCGGTTGGGAAGGGAAAAGCCTCTACATTGAAGCTGGTCCACTGTAAGGGCCTTGTTAAGAATGGCAAACCAGTAGAATGTTTTTTCTTTTTTCTTTTTTTTTTTGACGGTACGGATAACAAGTATGCCTTCCTTCCTATTCTAAGATGGGCAGGGATGGGATTCGGGTTCGAGCCTCTTCAAGATTCAAGAATGCCATAGAAAGAAGCCACTGAGAAGACTCCAGAGGCAGAAGGAGGCCATATTATTCTGTCTGTACCGTTGGAAGGGACAAACAAGTCCTGTAGTATAGCAGAAAGAGAAGCAAAGGCGGTGAGTTCGTGGCCTACCAAGTTCTGTCCAAAGATTGGGTCCAAACTCTGGAGTTGAGACTTACTTTTCCAAACAGCTCCTAAAACTCCTACAAACCTAAAAAAACCCAAAAATTCATAAAGAACTTAAATCCCCAAAAATACATCCTTAAAAACTAGGATAAAAAATACGAGCCATTTGCTCCTACATCAGCTTAACATGGATGGTTGTTCTATGAGCAACCCAAGACCCACAGGGACAGGGGGTATACTAAGGCCAACGTGGATACACTATTGTCTCCCTCTCACAACCCATTGAGCCACACTGACTCCACCACAACAAATTCCAAAGATTTCCTCAAAGGCTTGGAAAGGGCTCCCTCTAGCTCCTTTTGTTGGGTTTCTGTGGACATTAAAGGCCTTATGAGAGCTTGTAATCAATATTTTGATATAGTAGAACATAAACTCAGTGGGAGTATGGTCCTCTTGGACCGAAATAGGCAAATGATATTTGCCGATACTCAGACTAGGCTTTACATGCCAGGCCAATCGAGTTAGAAAACCTTAATTACCTAGGTTGAGTGCACAACCGATGAGGGTTAGCAGGTCATGCCTTGATGACGTCGGAGTTGCCCAAGGTTGAGAGCCAAGGGATGGTGTAACCCTTGTGTGTGATGGTAGGCCTGCAGAGATGAAGGCCAAAGCCTCATCTGTGAACCATTACATGATATGTAGATATGATAACCGTATTGGGAACAGAGTCACTATTGAGAGTGATGCATGTATATAAGAGAGAGATTACCCCTATGCACCATAGAGTTGTGGTTGCATCAGGTATGTGTGGCCTTGAACTTGTATCTTGGGGAGAACCTGTAATCCATAGATTGAGATTGTGTTTCCTCACTTATTATTGGGCTTTTGCGGCCCAATCATGAACCCCCGTGATGGTCTGTGGGTCATGAGAACCATAAGGTCAGTTCGAGAAAGTGAATGTGGATTATAGTCCGCAATAGAAGATGAAACGCTTTAGCAAATTTATTAGTCCTTGACCTAGTTGGATCCGATTCCCATCAAAATTACTTGGAATTAATTATTTTTTGAGAAATACTTGGAATTAATTATTTTGATGTTAAATGATTTTTATATTATTATTTGAATTTTTAGAAGTATCTGGATATTTTATTTTCACAAAATGGATTTATAAATGGGAGATATTGAATTTTCAGTATTTTAAATATTCAAAAAGAAAAAAATATTTATTCTTTTTCTAAAATTATTATATAATTTTTGTAATTTGTTAAGTATATGGGGGCCGACCATGGGAGGTGGGGCCCACCATAAATGTGAATAAGGGAGTACGTGGGGGCCACCCTTGACCACCGTATGTGGCACACTCCTCCAATTGTATATTGTCCTTATTTTTCATGAGAGCCATAAGGAACTCAATTAAGTGTTGAATACTATGGAATGTTTTAAGATTTAAGAAGTTTGAATATTCAAAAGAAGGCATGTATAAGAGATTTATACAGTAGATAGTATGATATTATTTTTCATATTTTATTATTTGATGGGATTAGGTTTAAGGAAGTTGAAGGATAATATTCTAGCTCTTTTTTTTGAATCACGATGACTGATCTAAGGATTGGATGGCTCAGATCTCTCACCCCTTAGATCTCCTGTGATAAATGGTTTGGATCTAGTCTCCATAAGGATGGCTAACCCTAACCTTTGGAAAAGACTATAAATAGAGGCCCATTCTCTACAAATCTCTACACCTCTAACCTCTCTCCCCCCCCTATGGCTGACATGCCAACCTCTCTCATCTCTCTCTAAACTCTCTCATCTCTCCTCTCTCCATTAGAAATTAGTAAGAAAATAGGGGGAATGCCCCACCTAGATCCAAGAGAGGGGCACGCCCATTGAGGCCTAGTTCTTGCTAAGTTATGTTTCATTGCTTTCATATTGACTAAGGGTTATAGCCTTTGGTTTCTCATACTTCAAAGATCTGAAAAAGATTATTGAACCCGTGCGCCATTGGAGGAGGAGACTCAGAGTGGGGTGTACAAAGTCCAGTTGAGGTAATCTTCTGACATCTTGCTTTATGTCTTGCAGTCTTATGTTTTCTTGTGGTCATAAATATTACGTGTTTTTTGTTTATTGAATAAAAGAAGTTTAATTAGTGGCAGCAAGCGAGAACCTCTTTCATAAATTTTTTTGGTTTATTTTGAGTTGATCTAATTGTATTTGGACCATTGTTAGTACTCTAGTCAGTGCAAAGAAGAAAAAGTAAAAATTATATACACCGTGCTAGATCACCTTGTCCAACTTTCACCTTCCTCTTTTGGCAAATCACAGCAGAAGGGAATAGTAGTGATGTCATAGCGTGGACCCCAAAGAGAGTTGAATGCCCCTGGAGTTTGACTCAAATTTTTTAACACATTTTCTATTTATGCAAGGCGATGAGGGTCATGTTCACCACATTTGGAGGGACGCAAATCAGGCTTCTAACGCCTTTGGCTAAAATGGGGGCTGCAGGGGGGCCCACTAGATTGAATCAAAACACCTAGTACCTCTCTCTCTCTC